TCTTCTTGCATATTAAAGGACTAAAATGATTCCTTTTCATGTCTTTATTACTTTTAGGCTTTTAGGCTTTATCACTCTTCTTTTTCCCTTCCCTCTCTTTTTCCCTCTTACTGTCTCTTTCTCTTCTCTCTCTTTCTTACTGTCTCTAACTGTACATCTATCTTCCCTTCTTCTGTTCCACCCACTTTCTCTCTTTCTCTTTCCTTTTGTGTCTCACTTTCTCTTTTTTCCTCTCGTTTTGTTTCTTTCTCTTTCCCCGTGCTTCTCTCTCATTCTGTCTCTTTCTGCTCTATTCTTTCTCTCTCCCCCTCTGCTTTTTGTGCCTTTCTCTTCCTTTCCTACCTCTCTTCCTGTTCTGCCTTTCTCTCTTTCTATGTTCTGGTTCTGTTTCTTTCCCCTCTCTCTTTCTCTCTGTCTGTATTCTCTTTAACACTCTACCTCTTTTTCTCTTTTTTGTGTCTCTTTTTCTCTCTTTTTGTGTACAACGCTTTCTATTCACTGCCTTATTTTAATCTCACTTCCTCTCTCTTTACCTCCCTCTCTCACCCCCTCTCTCTATTTCCCCCACCTCTCACACTTTTTTCTTTATCTATTCTGTCTTATTTTAATCTCTCTCTCCCTTTCTCTCCCACTCTCTCTCTCTCTCTTCTGTCTTGTTTTACTCTCTTTATCTTTGTCTTGTATCTTTTAGTCTGACTTCCTTTCTTTCTTTCTTTCTCTCTTTCTATTCTTTCTCTTATGTTAATCTCCTTTCTTTCTTTCACATTGAATCTTTTTTCATTCTTTTTCTTTCATTCTTTCTCTTAGTTTAATCTCCTTTCTTTTTTTCTTCCTTTCTGTCTTTCACATTTTCCTTTTCATTCCTTTCTTTTTCTTTCATTCTCTTTCTTCGTTACTTTCTTTTTCTTTCATTCTCTTTCTTCGTTACTTTCTTTATTTTCTTTCGTTCTTTTAATGTCTCTCTTCCTTTTTCTTTCTTTGTCTTTCTTTCTTTCTTTCTTTCTGTCTCTCGCCCATTTTAATGTCTTCCTCTTGCTGTTTCTCTTTCCTTCTATTCTGTCTTATTTTAATCCCCCCCCCTCTCTCTCTCTCTCTCTCTCTCTCTCTCTCTCTCTCTCTCTCTCATCTTTGCTTCCTAACTGTCAGTAATTGAAGGCTTATTTGTACAGGTGTTCTGTGTGTATCTGTAATTGACTGTTAACATCGTGTTGATAACTTTTGTAAAGTTTCTCTCTCTCTCTCTCTCTCTCTCTCTCTCTCTCTCTCTCTCTCTCTGTCTCTGTCTCTCTCTCTCTCTCTCTCTCTCTCTCTCTCTCTCTCTCTCTCTCTCTGTTATCTGCAGTTGAATTGAATTAAACTGCTCTTCCTGACTCTTAAGTAATGGAAGATGCAGCCGAACAGGTGTTCTGGCTGTGATTTAGTGTTAATTTGGGGTTGATTATCTTTTTAAACTCTCTCTCTCTGTCTCTCTCTCCCTCTCTCTCTCTCTCCCTCCCTCCATCTCTCTCTCTCTCTCTCTCTCTCTCTCTCTCTCTCTCTCTCTCTCTCATATCACTCCAAGCAGGCTGTTTTGTGTAGGCTCATTTGGGAAGTACATACCAACTAATTTTAATATTCGAGTATCCGTAAGACTTAATGAGCGGATATCCAGGTAACCACAGGGATGGATTAGCAACAAAAGAAAGGAAAGAACTTGGACTTCAGCCAAAGTTTGCGTAAGGCTGCGTGTCGGGTTACTTTATAGATGATGTCACTGAAGGTTAAAATTTGACATGTTTATTATTCAAAAGTAGCCAGTGCATGTTCGTGGTGTATGAATAACAGAAGCTGCCTCTTCAGATGAAGGACACAGTGCTGGATGGTGATGAGGACCAGTCGTCTTCTACATGAAGTCGTTTCTTCTGCACAGCAGCACTGCTGTGTCTGATCCACTCAGACCAGCGCAACACACACTAACACACCACCACATCAGTGTTACTGCAGTGCTGAGAATGATCCACCACCCAAACAGTACCTGCTCTGTGAGGGTCCATGGGGGTCCTGACCACTGAAGAACAGGGTAAAAGGGGGGTAACAAAGTATCAGAGAAACAGATGGACTACAGTCTAACTGTAGAACTACAAAGTGCACCTATATAGTAAGTGGAGCTGATAAAATGGACAATGAGCGTAGAAACAAGGAGGTGGTCATTATGTTATGCGAGATGTGTGTGTGTAGTCAGGTTGAATAAAACTAGTTAATTTACTGGAATACTGGCACATCAAACAGTTATCCGAGTACTCGAGTACACATGCACATCCATAAGTCTCGTGGCTGTCAGATGGGGTCAGTTTGATGAAGGCTCACAGTTTGTTTCCTTTATTTATTTGACCGTTTACTGTTTCTGCTTACTGCAGTGTTAAGATATTGACGGTAGTCCAGGCTGTATTGCTGGTAAAGACAGGAAGAGCAGTTTTCCATAGACAGGCTGTACTGAGAGGTTCGGTGAGCTGTGTGTGAAATCCCATGGTGTGTTGGGATTTCCCTGCTTGTCAATATGAACTCTGTAAAAAGTGGTGAAAATCTGTCTTTTAAACATTCTGATCTCTCTCTCTCTCTCTCTCTCTCTCTCTCTCTCGTCAGATTGTATTCTTTCCTTTTCCCAATCCGTAGATCGGCTGAAGGAAAACACTGTAATGAAAGCTCAGCCGGAGGTGATTGTTTTTCGAGAGTGCTTTCACGGGCCTTGTCATCTTGCCAGCAGAGCTTTTCAAAATGGAAATCACAACAAATCATTTACTGTCCAGCACAGAAATCGGCAGCACTTCTCTGGCCTTACCTCATCCTGACAGAATGGCTGCAATTCAACCTGACCACAGCCTCAGCGGCTCCGCCCACGCGATTGCATGGACCGTCCGATGCTTATTGAATGCTAAGATGGACAGAGCTATAGGAATTTTGTCTGTTGCACTTAACCATTAGCCTATACAGCCAATTATAAAACATACGTGCACAACTCAAAAACGCCTACTTCCTGATGTAGGAACCTGTTGTTCTCAAGCCAGTATTTAATTTAGTATAATTTAAGTAGTGCTGGGCGATATGGCCTCAAATCAGTATCACGATTAACTGAATGTTTTTACCTCGATTATGATTAATGAATGATTATTTTGTGTTTGGTTTTTTTGTTTGTTTTTTGCACTCATAGTTCACTAACAAGGTTTGTACTGTAAATATGCTCCGCATATCTGAACGTAGATCGTCTTTCACACGACAGCCAGATCGGATTTCAGTCCAGCTTGACAGAAAAAGCTGTTGAAGTAATGCTGATTGTCTTTTGCCTTTCAGTACCTGCAGTTAGGATGTAGGTAGCCGTTAGTATTTCTTTTTGCCAAAAAGCGAATGGTGCTTTCGTAATGTTGTATTTTGCTGTTTAAGGTAGAGGTGAGATTTCTGTAGATTCCTCCAGAAAACAAAACATTCAGTAAACATCCGGTCAGACGAACACTATTTTAATAATAGTTTATTACATATTTGTGATATCCGAAAGCTTGTCCATATCCTACAGCCCCAGATTGCAACTATTAAAATACTCTGAACGTGTTAGAGCACCAAGTTAGAAGGTAGATTCTTTTTCTTTTTTATAAGCCCTTATGATGTCTGCCTGAATGTTTATTCACATTTATTAACGAGTAACGACTGTGGAAAATGACTGCAGTCACCTTAAATAGTTGCAACCATCTCAAATAATTGCGATTAGGCGATTATGTAATACTTGTGACGGGCCTGACCTTAACATAAACAACACAAGACCAGCTTCACAATACGCCACTTCTGCGTCTGTTTCTGCTAATTAGTCACCTTTTCATGCGCATCGCCAGTAATAAGTGTCTCACTATTTTTCTGAGCCTCTCTCTTTTAGCAGCGCAGCTCATGCCAGCTTACTAGCATTCTTAGAGCTCATTTATACTCATAATTAATACTTATCTGCACTGATATTTACAAAATTTTATACACTTTACGTTATTTATCTATGAGATTACACACACAGAGTCCTGCTGTGTCTACTCACATCAGAGTGGCTGTAAATAACTTCAGTACCAGATGGCCGACCAGCCCAGCCCCTCATGCCAAGCCACCAGACACTGTGTGTGTGTGTGTGTGTGTGTGTGTGTGTGTGTGTGTGTGTGTGTGTGTGTGTATATATATACACACGCATGTTGGTGTGTGTTTTTTACTGTTTTTTTTTCTCATACTTAGATATGAAAATGCGTGTTTCTGTATTACTCATTTGAGGTGATGGAATATTTAGCACAAATGAGACCAGCTGTCAAAAATGCTGCCATTCCTGACGTTCGGTTACCTTCAGATGAATGCATTTTCCCTTAAAGGGCCTGTATCATGGGGAAAGGTGTGTCCCTTGCTTTTTGTAAATGAAAATATGGTGTTTATGTTTTTTAAACAATGCCCAATTTTTAAAACGACAGTTCATATATAGAAATTAGGCTGCCAAAACAGCCCACTTTGAATTCATTATATTTGTGATGTCACAAAACCATTGCGTTTGTGCTTACCCCCTTTCAGCCTGTCGCAGTTTAACCTCGCCCATTAACGCTGGTGTATATAAGTAGCTTTATAGCCCAGAATGAGGCATGATACAGGGCAGGCAATCATAACAGAGGTCATTTCCTTATGGCGGTAACAAAAACAGCCTGTTTAGTTCTTAGGGATAAAGAGAGTTTGGAAAATGGTCATGCAAAAATGAATTATGACTGGTTTTAGTGCTTAAACCCAAATACATGTAAAAATGGGACCTCGGGAAAAAATAAAATGCAAGAAAAATGTAATGTATTGTCCCTTTGACCTCTGTTATATTTATTATTTTTATGTATAGCATACATTTTTTATTTATTAATGTATTTTTTTTTAAATAAACTGAATTCTTAATTTTTAAAGAAGTTTTTATTTGTATTGTTTGCATTAATCAAACTCTCTCTCTCTCTCTCTCTCTGATGACGCAGGGACGTTCCGTTGTACCTTCTGTCAGACCGAAGTAGAAGAGGACGAGTCTGCTGTCCCAAAAAAGGACGCCCGGACGCTGGTCGCCCGCTTCAACGAGCAAATTGAACCCATTTATGTGTTGCTACGGGAGACCGAAGACATCAACCTATCGCACGACCTGCTGGAGCCTGAGCCTACGGAAATCCCCGCCCTGAAACAGAGGTTGGCTCCGCCCATTCTGAGTGATTCGGTCACTATTGAGATCAGCTGTGTGGTTCATGTTAGACTACCAAACTATCCAGACTAGCACATTCATTATAAGAAGGTAAAAGGTTTTATTTTCCATTTAATGAGGGCAGATTTTAGTTTTTCCTCCTCAGTCAGTTCTATGGAAGCCCTGAAGGTTATGTTTCTAAGACGTTCCACTTTATTTATATTTGTTCTGCCTGTATAACTTACAAAATAGGCAAAATATTTTCTAGCATCACTTGTTGAATTTCAAATCTTTCCATACAGTTTATAGAAAAATATGGGTTAATAGTTAGCATGTTATAGTAGCTTTGACCAGGAGGGGGCGGGTTTTTTTTCATTTATTTTTTTTTTCTCTCTCACTAGTTCTGACCGTTACTCTAGTGGTCAGAGAGATTCTGGAGAGGAGAATGACCACTCTGTAATGTCTTCCAGGTTTCTCAAACACTAGAGGGCGCTCCTGAGTGAGTCCAAAATGAATGGGTTAATATGGAGCATTTGAGCAAAATCATAGTTTATAAATGCTTAAATATTTTTAATGTAAAAGAATTCGATCACTGCCTGAACACAGAACAGCATAAAACATTTTAACACTGCTGTTATATTTTTAAGAGCTTTTAAACTCGAGTTATAGGAGTTTAAAGCGGTGCCTCATGTATGTTCATGATGTCAGTGAGCACGAACAGCCAATGAGCTGCTCCGCTCGCCAACCAATCAGCACTCAGTAGCAGTAATGTTAGCGTCCTGCTGCCCAAAACCTGTTTACTGTAGAAACAAGGAAACATACAGGTGAGTTTTCTTTACTTTTAAGTAAAATACAAGCTACTACTTTCTAAAACAAAAGTTCTGGGCGAGTGATTAGAAACTATTTTAACTTTTCGATTTTAGCCGTTTAGCTCTATTCACTCCCATTCATTGAGGACTCGCTCGCAGGCGCCCTCTGGAGTTTTGCTGTGACGTTTTTGATATAGCGGGGGAAATAGGAAGAGGCCAGACTCCTCATAAACCGGCTCTGTCTAGTTGCCTCTGGATTGGTAGTCTACTGATTTGAAAAAAGTTAGCTAAATCGGCAAAATCGGTCGCCCCCTGCTGGTGCAAGTTGGTGTAACGTACTGAGTGATAGCCAGTATTTATTTTTTCGTGCATTTTCCATCTCCTGCACCTCAGTAGTGGGAAAAAAACTGAGACAATCCCTCATGCTTTTCTGTGTTGCATGGGCGTTAACCCTTAAGCCTAGAAATAGTATCGTCTTGCTGTAGTAATGAAGTACATTTACATAATTTCATCCCTGCATAGTTACGTAGTGAACATTACATTACATTTATACAGGGGTGGGAAGGTACAAAGTATAAGTACTCGTTACATTACGAAAGAAAAACTGTACTTTCTACACACTGCATTTTCAAACCAGGCTTACATTTTTAATCACTTTATTCATCAAATTTCTTCCGCTGTGGATCTTCCGCATTTTTCCCACCATAGATTTTTCCATCTCGTGTCACTTTTCACAAGGTAACTAATCAAAAAAGAGGGAGCACAAAATTGAACCACAGAGTGGACGCGGGCTGCACGGCAGGACATGGTTGCTAAAAACCTTGAGAAAGAGACGATGAGTACCCCTCCCCACTGTGACCTACCGAGTAGTTATATATGAAATATGATATAGAAATATGTTGTGTCTCTTTGCTAATCGTGGTGTTCTTTTCTCCGCAGTAACTGCTTGTTCATTTAGTCAGTTTATTTACCGTGATGTGTGATGTGGTGTTGAACTTCACCACCGGCCATAAAGATCCACTCCGCTGTTTAAAGGCAGATTTCTCGCAGTTCAGATGCTTTGTGTGGAACACAGACCACCGTCTGAACGCAGCAGAATCCAAAGAGAGCGATAGTAGCGAGTTAGCTCATATTCTGGAAGGTGCAAGAATTAAGATTAAGCGACCCTTATTAGTCCCACAGTGGGGAAATCTCACCTCCGCATTTTAACCCATCTGTGCAGTGAAACACAACATACACAATAGTGAACACAGACACACTAGGGGGCAGTGAGCACACTTGCCCGGAGCGGTAGGCAGCCCTATCCGCAGCGCCCGGGGAGCAGTTGGGGGTTGGGTGTTCCCCCAACTGCTCAGGGGATCGAATCGGCGACCATCCGGTCACAAAACCGGTTCCCTAACCTCCAGCCCACGACTGCCTCTGAAAATGTCAGGAAAAAATGGCCTTATTTGTAAGAAGTATTTGATCTAGTTGGTTCAACAAACAGTTTGTGGTGTTTTGCTCTACAAAAAAGAACGATATTAAAACTGATATTAAAATTAGTTTGCAGATCTAACATAAACCAATTTTTGCACTTAATATCATGGTCGCGCACATCTAATTAACACTCATTAAGGACGCCTGTTTCAGAAATTGAATTAGAAACACTTTTTAAATTAAAGAAAGAAAAGGAAGGTGAGTTTTTTCCTTTTTTTTTGCGAAACAGGACTGCACAACAATGATCACACTTTAATAAAGCATCTCCTCTTACACCAACACAACTGTGGTATGAATTGAAAGTTTAGAATCTGCACTTTCTGCACAGTTTCTTTCATTTCAATGAGCTGTGAGTGAAAACTAATGAAATTACAGCATTCTTCTGTTACTGCTGACTGCCTGGGGTCAACACGTATGAGACATGCAGTAAATTCAGGCTGTTGTTTCACACGCAGCCTCTCTCTCTGTCTTCCCCTGCAGCCGAGAGCGCGCGGCACCATCCGGCGGGGGTGTGGGCGCCGGAGCAGCCGGCCACGAGGTGTGGAAAACGAAGGGCTCGTCATACGACGACCTGTACACACAGAACGTGGTCATCAACATGGAGGAGCAGGAGTCGCAGCAATCGGCCGAGGCAAAGGCCCCCAAAGAGAGGCCCGTGTGGCTGACCGAGAGCACCGTGCCCGGGTCATACGACACGGAAGCCCTCAAGACCCGTGAGTACAGTCTCGGCATTGCTATCGATTTGTGTCATGGTGATTATTGATACTATAAAGAGCTCAGCTGTATTTCTATTAAATGAATGTAGTATTTAATATGAGATGACTTCATTAGGTTACGTTAAAGAGTCCATATCATGGAAAATCTTATATAAGATGTAATAGAGTAGAAGTGTGTTTGTTGTATAAGGAAAAAGGGCAGTTTTTGTTTTTTTTTTGCTAAAGGCATTTTGTGTTTAAGCAACATTAATAGTTTTTTAAGCTCGAGTAACACAACTCACACATCTCTGCTTCAAATTAAACACTTAAACTTTTTCTAGAGCGCCCACTGTTTAAATCAAGGGTGTCTAACTCGACCACTGAAAGGGCCTTAATAAAAAACCTCAACAAATCTGAGGGCCAGAGAGCGTTTACACCGATCAGGCATGACAAAATGACCACCTCCTTGTTTCTACGCTCATTGTCCATTTTATCAGCTCCACTTACTATATAGGAGCACTTTGTAGTTCTACAGTTACAGACTGTAGTCCATCTGTTTCTCTGCATACTTTGTTAGCCCCCTTTTACCCTGTTCTTCAGTGGTCAGGACCCCCATGGACCCTCACAGAGCAGGTACTATTTGGGTGGTGGATCATTCTCAGCACTGCAGTAACACTGACGTGGTGGTGGTGTGTTAGTGTGTGTTGCGCTGGTACGAGTGGATCAAACACAGCAGTGCTGCTGGAGTTTTTAAACACTGTGTCCACTCACTGTCCACTCTGTTAGACAGACCTGCATTTTTGGTCCACCTTGTAGCTGTAAAGTCAGAGACAATAGCTCATCTCTTGCTATACAGTATGAGCTAATCATCCTCTAGTCCTTCATCAGTGGTCACAGGACGCTGCCCACAGGACGCTGTTGGCTGGATATTTTTAGTTGGTGGACTATTCTCAGTCCAGCAGCGACACTGAAGTGTTTAAAAACTCCAGCAGCACTGCTGTGTCTGATCCACTCAGATCAGCGCAACACACACCACACACCACCACCATGTCAGTGTCACTGCAGTGCTGAGAATGATCCACCACCCAAATAGTACCTGCTCTGTGAGGGTCCATGGGGGTCCTGACCACTGAAGAACAGGGTAAAAGGAGGCTAACAAAGTATGCAGAGAAACAGATGGACTACAGTCTGTAACTGTAGAACTACAAAGTGCACCTATATAGTAAGTGGAGCTGATAAAATGGACAATGAGCGTAGAAACAAGGAGGTGGTCATAATGTAATGCCTGATCGGTGTGCATGTGCGTGTGTGTGTGCGTGTGTGTGTGTGTGTGTGTGTGTGTGTGTGTATATACACACACATTTTTTATTATTTTTAGACTTTATTTTCCATGATAAGGGTCCTTAACAGTAGTTTCTATTACTGTACTGAGACAGAAGTTTCCTGTTTGAGTCTCAGAATTGCTTGTTTTGGTACCGCAGCTGGTGAAGACTCCATGGTAACCCAGGAGGGCGTGGCTGGGCGTGGCCCTGCGCAGGACGAGAACGAGGAAGTGATGCGTGCCCTGCTCATCCACGAGAGAAAGGTTAGCTCTGCCCTGGGGGGCGGAGCCGTCGCCAGGCCCAGCGCCCCAGCGGCCACGGGCAGCGACTCCGAGAGCGAAACCAGTGAATCGGACGAGGACTCTCCGAGCCAGGCTCCCGTCCACGTGGCCGCGGCCGCCCCCAGGCCGGGGAGGCAGGACGTAGAGGACGAGGACGAGGAGGATGACGACTTTGAGGAGGTTGGAGACGATCCGGTTGTGATGGTGGGTGGGAGACCGTTCTCCTACAGAGAGGTGAGCCAGCGGCCAGAGCTGGTGGAGCAGATGAGCGCTCAGGAGAAGGAGGCGTACATCGAGATGGGCCAGAACCTGTTTCAGGACATGTACTTCTGAAGGGTCTCTCTCTCTCTCTCTCTCTCTCTCTCTCTCTCTCTCTCTCTCTCATTATTGTTGCCGGATCAAGACTGTCTATCAGCTTTTTTGTTGTCTTATTTAATTACATCTTTTGAAAATGGCAGTTGCCCTTTTCATTGTGTGAACATTTCATGATAAATGGACCAATAGAAATGGTCTAAAATTACTTGATATTAAATATTACATCTATTTTTTTTTTATTCATCTATTTTCATAATCTCGGCATAGTTCAGTTGGTAAGACGTAAACAAAGCCATCCAGAATAGTTTGATGTGAAACGGTTAATTGCAGAGAAACTGTCTCTGATGTCTTTGCAGTGGTGGTGATGGGAACCAGGGGTCATGATCTCTACAGCACGAATATAGCCATTTTATTTAATATCCAAAATGATGACTGTGAATATAAAAGCGATAAATGTGAACTTACACCTGTCTTCTGGGTTTTTAATGTCGTGTTCACGATGGTAAAATGGTGTTAAATAAAAAATACATGCTGTTTTGGGACTATATTGCCTTACAACGGCCTGCATGTACCTCTTGCCATTGAAATATAAGTTTTAGGCCAAGAACTATCATAAACACGATCTCTGACATCGGGCAGCGTATTCATAACCATTTCATGTTGCATGAGGTCAGATTTAAAGGCATTAAACTCCTCAGATGTTTGGTTCCTATCACCACCACTGCGAACAGTTCTCACTTTGTTTACATCTTAATCGTTTAATTAATCGAGGTTTTGGGGGAAAAAACATTTTTTTCTTCTCCTGTGAAATTACCGAAGTTTTGTTCCGTCAGCAGCTGATCTCTCTGTTCTCTCTCTCTTTCACCTGCTATATTCTGTCTTTGTGCCTCACTCTCTTTTCTGAGGCTCCTTAGTGGTCACTCTGCCCCTGCAGGACTGCAGGACTCTGTTCCATCTTTTTACAACAGCACGTTCTGTTGAGTTGTGCTGGAAGTTGGACCCCAGCGGAGAGGTGAAGTATTCTTCTGTGGAGCAGGACAACTGCTTTTCTGCTCGTCCATTCCGCGTCTCTCCTGCTGGACTCGGAATTGCGCTAGTGCCAAGCAACTGAGGTATTTCTCTCTTCCATTTCAGGATGAATAAACACACAAACGCTGTTTTTATTTGCTTTTCTTTCACACACCAAGACGCTCTTGGGCAAATGGCAGAGAATTCAGTATTTCTGTGGTAACTGCTGGAACCAGGTGACCCGCCAGAGTCAAAAAAACGTACACAAACGTAGGAGCGTCCTGAGCTGCTGGCCACTGATTGACAGTTAAAAGTGTCTTTTCCTACTCAAAGTCAGGTTCTGTGACAAGGCATCAGCATTCCTGGACGTTCACTGTTCTTCTCGAGCCTCTCTCGTCTTTTCGAGACAGTATTTCATAGTACAGAAGGATTACAAAGAGAGTTTAACGGTGTTACGAACATTTATAACGTTGCTGTGGTAACAAGCACTCGTCGGTTCCTGTGAAGAAATGTACTTCTGATGGTTATCAGGGTATGAACAGGTGATTTTGTTTTTTGTTGTAGTAAAGTGACTTCTTTAACAGCAATAAAAAGCTGCTGGTCAATTATTTTGTGTGGTTCTGCTGAATTTGGCCAGTCTAAGGCCTAAACCTCCCACCCATCCCCAACAACTGTGTCCTAAAATCTGTTCTTGGTTGCACAGACGTTTTACACCTTGTATTGTTTGTATTTCACATCTTGTATTTTCCCAGCAAACAGTGGAATATTGAAAAGTTTGATTTATAAACAACAATAAAAACGTGAATAAATCCACAAAGACTGATTTAGTAAGCTCTATAGCTAGGTCTAGACCGGGGGTCGGCCACATGCGGCTCTTTTACTGTCCTGTTGTGGCTCCACAGCAGAATCAGGTTTGTAGGTAATAATAAAATAATGCTCCTTTACAGTAAAATAAAGCTCTGCTGATCGTTCAACACAGTTTAACAATAAATGGTCTTAAACTCTGGAGTTAATGTAGAACTGCTGATTCACCCTTTAACCCTGAAGGTCGGCGCAGACTGCTGGTCACCATAGCAACACAGACAACTATCTCGCCTAGCTGGTAGCTAACAAAACGGCAAAGAGAAAGATTTAAGACAAACATTGATAATTTGGAGACAAATGGACTTATTTTCATTTATAATCACTCCAGCTGGTTTTCTGATATGTTTAATCTGCAACGAGAAACTGTCAAACAGTAAAGTCGCGAAGCTGAAGTCAGCTTCTTGTTTGAGTTTTAGTGTTCCACCTTAAATGGTGCAGCAGTTACATTCTGGCATCTCAGGCACCATTTAAGGTGGAACGGGAAAATTTGAACAAGAAGCTGGTGAATGAGAAGCGACTTCAGGCTCATAAAAAGAGAACGTTGAGAGACATTTTACAAGAAACTTCTACTTTTGAGGAAAAGTTTCCTGCTGGAGATGCGAGAAAAGCAGCTATAGCTGAGCTAAAGCTGAAAGCAGAGCAAAGTGAGTCTGTGTTTTTTTTATTTATATTATATTTTTAGCCTATACTAGCACATCAGCACATACTGAGACATATTTACAGCCCAGATGGTAAAATGGATATAAAAGGTTGTGGCTCCCAAGGTGGTTTGTTTTTTGTTGAAAGGACAAAATGGCACTTCTTAACATTTGGGTTGCAACCCCTGGTCTAGACCCTAGCATAATAATCGCTTTCACATGAACACAGATCTCTACAGTTACACAAAATCGTGTAAGATCAAGCAAATGTATTGTTTTGAAAGTGTAAAATATGCTATAAGTTTCTAGCATATATACTAATCATGCTAGCATCAGAGCTGCCAAACTAGCTAGCATTACACTGACTCACAATGTGATTCATTTTAAAAAGAGAGATTGACACTTAATAATATGCAAGTTTACATTAAGGTGCACTTAGTGGTCATAAAACAAAAGGTGCCTCCAGTATCCAGCGGAATACTCAAAGTACTAATAATCACATTTTAAATGCCTAATTCCCGTGTAATGGTGTTACTGAAGGAACCCTTGACAGTCTTCAAGTTCTTACAGGAACCTATAACTACCTAACTGGAGTCCATCAAGCACCACGCTTTAGCTTTAGGTTCCTAGAGGAACCCTGTTGTTTTGAGTGAGCCCTCAAGCAAGATTCCTAGAAGAACTTGAAGGCCTAAAATGCTTTATTTTAAGAGATCTAGACTTTCCTGGAGCTCTTCAAAGTCCTCTTGTATTCTAGCAGTAACCAGGAGGTTTGGGGAGCACCTACATCCGAGAAGGTTCTCTGTGGTATTACAATATGTAATACAATATATAATAAATACATAGTAGTAGGTCCCGACCCCCAAAATGAGCTTAAGGTTCTTGAAGAATCAAACAACATGGTTTAAACATGGTTCCTTGAAGCATCCAGAGGTTACAGACCATGCTGGGTAGATCAGTTCCTCAAGGAGCCCAGAGAACTGCCCTTTTCAGAAGGGTTCCTCAAGGCTTCCACCAGTGTGGCTACCTGAAGAACCTCAAAGGGTGCCTCGAGGATCCTTTCATTTTTACAGTGTAGTGTATGATGGCTTTCTCCTCACCTGGAAGAGTAAAAACACTGCTAAATAACGCTGTTTATACTGTGAGGTGAGCATTTAAAGACACAGCTCGAGCTCAATAAAACTCTCAGTACTCACCGCTGTTACTGAGCCATTCATAAGGAAGAGCTTTGGTTGTTTTTCTAAGATCCCGTTTCAATAAATGCATGTTTTTGCTTCATTCGTGAATTGTTTGGTAACCCTTCCCGAGATTATAAGGTGATAGTCATTTAATTTGGTGTATAGCACCACCTACTGCTTGTCTCTGTTTCAACAATGGGTATCAGTCAGTCAATCAGTGACTGAGTAAGAGACAGGCTGCAAAAGAGAAGGGAAATCTGATAAATACTGCTTCAGATCTGCTGATCAGACCTATCTGAGAACCGTCTGCATGATTGACATCCCTCAGTCCAACACTCCCAGCCCCCTGAACCACCGAAGTAGCTCAAGTGAGGGGAAATGAAACAGCCATATACCTGCCATACCACAAGATGAGTCTGGTTGATGTAATCCCTATAACCCCTCCTCATCAGTCATTGTTAAATAGAGGCCGTTCTAAAAAATGAGTGACCATCATTTGTCTTATACACCGATCAAGCATAACATTCTGACCACCTCCTTGTTTCTACACTCATTGTCCATTTTATCAGCTCCACTTACTATATAGGTGCACTTTGTAGTTCTACAGTTACAGACTGTAGTCCATCTGTTTCTCTGATACCTTGTTAGCCCCCTTTTACCCTGTTCTTCAGTGGTCAGGACCCCCATGGACCCTCACAGAGCAGGTACTATTTGGGTGGTGGATCATTCTCAGCACTGCAGTAACACTGACGTGGTGGCGGTGTGTTAGTGTGTGTTGTGCTGGTACGAGTGGATCAGACACAGCAGTGCTGCTTCATATGAAAAGTTTGTTTCCGCACAGGCTGAGAAATACGAAAGAAATCTGAGTAAGAGTTTACATGAGCTGAGAAATCTGATTACTGAGCTAAAATCCAGCTCTCTATATCGGATTCCTTAATCGGATTTCTAGATCGGAGTATGGTGCTTACATGACCATTTGAGTAATCGGATAACTGCAGAAATCTGATTATGATCGGATTATTGAATGCATGTAAACACACTCGCTGTGTGGCGCATTTGCGAGTGAGGACAGTGGGAGGGGGAGGTGAGACATTATTGGTTAATATTGTGCCCCGCCCACTTGTGCACGGTGACATAATTGTAATTGTATATTGTGTGCAAATGAATCTAATTAAAAACATGGTTTTAGGTTTCTGGGGCTTTAAGGAACATCTGGATTTGCCGTAACGGTGTGTAAATGTCTGTTTGACGTACTTTTGATTGGGCAGAACAGAAAAGTGACCACACTAGCCTACATGCAATAATGGTGGTGGTAGCACATTTAAAACAGGTCGTTCTTCAAGAGTTCTTTAGTAAAGGCAGTTCTATTTAGAACCATTTTCTTCCTGTAGCAAGCTTATCATAACAATGGCAGAACCCTTTTTGGTGCAATATAGAACCATTTTCAGGTCCCATACACTGTACAAAGTGTAAAAAGTAAAAATTATGTGGCATCAAGTATATTACAGTGTACAGAACCATATACAACATTCTCCATCAATCTGAAGAACCATTTCATGCTTAAACGGTTCTTTGCATGGTGACATCGTTCTTCAGATGGATGTAGAATATGTTGTATATGGTTCTGTATAGGACCTTTTTGAAAATGGTTCTATACTGCACCAAAAAAGGTTCTTCTTTTGTTATGATAACAAGCTTGCAACAAGAAGAAACATATTTGGTGCTACACAGAACCATTTTCAAAAAGGTTCTATATAGAACTATATACAACACGTTATCCATCAATCTGAAGAACCATTTCATGCTTAAATGGCTCTTTGCATGGTGACATCATTCTTCAGATTGATGGAGAATGTGTTGTACACGGATCTGTACAGGACCTTTTTGAAAATGGTTCTAGATTGCACCAAAAAAGCTCTTCTTTGGTTCTAACAAGCTTGCAACAAGAAGAAACATTTGCTGCTGTGTAAAACCATTTTTTAAAAAGGTTCTAAGTAGAACCATTTAATCACATTTTCCGTCAATCTGAAGAACGATTCACTATGCAAAGAACCATTTAAGTATGAAATGGTTCTAGATAGAACCATCTTAAGTATGTAGCTATTTAATGTACCATTAAAAAAAGCCCTGAACGTTCCTGCAACGGTTTTCATCCTTACCGAAATCTCCCCTTCAAAAGCAAAGCATGCCAAACTCCTCATAAAAGCCTGGCCGGCCGTCAAGCAGCCGGGACAGACGAGATGAAATATTCTGTTCTCGGTAAAAGCCGCCTCCCAGGACACGGGAACAAATGTCAGCCAAAAGAGCTTCGCTCGTCCCTCCTTCATTCCCTCGCTCTGTCCATCAGTCTGCTTGTTAAGCTTTTCTCCTCATCTCTCATTCCGCTCATCACAAAAGTCTTTCGGTATAAAAGCCTTTGAACTTCATAAGCGAAGAAAGAAAGAGAATTGCTCAGGACTGAGCGGCAAGATCTGAACAAAGGCAGGCTGAAAGGTAAGGTCACTGCTACTCACTCCTGCCGCATCTTACGACAAAAACGTTTCAAAGTCACAATGAATGTCCAAATAAACGCGCCAACCAATAGATGGTTCTTTAAAGAAGAACCTTTTCAAAGTTTAGAGAACTTTAGTATCAAGATT